TATTAGAAAACAATGCGGAGTCTTTGTTTATGCATTATGGGATGGAGTGTCTGATGTCTGCCGGAAGAACCAGATTATTGAATAACGATTTTATCAACGGTTAAGATGAAATAAAGACAATTTTGTGAATGTAAAGCTATAAAACTTGTTTGCTATAGTAAAAGAAGTTAGATTCCTTTTTTTTTGTCAACTTTCTATTTAATTAAGGTTCTTAAAGCATCTCCAATATGTTACCATCATTGGAGTCCTTAACATTATTAAACTATTTTTTTTTTAATAGTTAAGCATTCTAATCAAAAATGTTCGTCCAATGGTGTTTTCCATTTTGGAGTTTTTAGGAAAAAAAATATTAAATTTTAAAACATGTGAAATTAAAACTTTTATGAGAAAATGACTTAGAAAGATCTAAAAAAAGTTTTTGTCACAAATATAACCTATAAGAAAAAATACGACCAAAATAGACTTTATTAAAGAGTGTAAAAACACATTTATACCCATTGGATTAACTAATCTATACTTAGGGTTTAGAGTTATGGGGTTTAGGTCTTAGGGTTTAATTTTTTTTTTTAAAGTTAAAAATTTCAACAATCGGGCGTTACCACATCATTAAGGATCAAGTCATTAAATTCCTTAATTAAGGACTCTTCCTTAATTAAGGACCACGCAAATTAAATACTATTATTTAAATCTGATTTGTCTAAGAATACGTGCTAAGAATTTGGTTAAATCCCCTGTTGTACATGCTCTTTAGACCAATAAGTACAAACAATTCAAACCCAATTACAATATATTCGGCCCAAAACGAAACCCAAAAGCAACAGATAAGAATTATCGCATGATTAACACATGATTAACACATGTTGCTCCCGTAGTATCGTCTCTTGCAGAAATGAGGAAAGAGAAAGCATCACCGGAAACTTTGCCGGTCAAAACGTCGACCTCCGTTCTCGTTTCGTTTGAGCTGCTTGTATGTACCTCTTCCTTTCCACCGCCGCCGATTCACTCAGTGTTCTTCACCACTTGCTAGAGCTTGAATCGAGAAAAGAATTGGAACAACCGAACACATACCCTTGTTCGAACACCTTCCTATAGGGAAGCCTCCGCCTCATCTGGAACTGTTTCAAAACCTCCTAGCTTATACAAAACTCAGATCTTGATCTTCGAAGAAACTCCACATCGCATAGTGAAGATTAATTCATGTACAGCATCAAGAGCTAAGGATATCCACCAGAGTGAGAATAAACTCTTAGGAATCAAGTGGGATAAAAAGTAAACAAAGAAAGAGAAAGCTTTCTAAAGTTAACACCGATCAAATCAGAAAGATCGGGATTTATTGTTCATACCAAACCCAAGAAAAAAGAATAAAGCTTTTAAATTTTCTCATATTTTTATGAAAAACACAAAAAAATCGCCTTTGCAAATAGGATATCGCCTAGCGAAAAAAATCGATCTAGAGATCAAACTTTATATTACAAACAAAAAGTCTCATCTCATCACCTCTGAAAGATAGGGGTTTGTTAAGAGGATAACGATAGAGAAGAGTCTCTCTCTCTAAGCTAAGAGAGAGGTCCCATCGATAAAAGAAGTTATACTCGAATCTATACATTACATGTTTTACGTAATTATGCCTTACGACGACGAGTAGTCAAAGTTCAACGATTTTTCTTGTAAAAGATTAATAGTGATATCAAGAACAAAGATCATTAAATGACCAAAGTTGAAAATGAGAAAGAAAAAACAATAATTATATTTACACGTCATTTTAAGTTTTTTTTTTTATAACACAATAAGACAGTTTTTACTACAAAGACATTTTCCTCTAATTTCATCACATATCGTTCACTTTTTTAAGTTAAAACAGAATTATATTATATATAGTAGGACTCACTTTCATCTCTCTCTCTCGCTTATTTTCTTGATCCACTTTCTTTTCTTTCTTATCTTTTTTTTTTCTCTGAACTTTCCCATTTTCTTCATTAGAAAATCTTTGATTTATAATTTTTTTTTCAAAAGATTATCTTTGAAAAATTCAGATCAAGCCACAACTTCAGTTCACAGTGACTGATTTACCCTCACAGACCATAGACATGATGTTGATGTAAATATACAAGTTCTCCACTGCAATTTACAAGTACGACGAGCTCCACTATTGTCTCCTTTATTCTACACAGATCTTCTCTTCTACAGTATCTTAAATCCAATGGGAAGCCTCAACGTCGTGTCCTCAGCCTCTCTTCGTGCCTCTGGTAGACCGGAAAGAAAAGCCGCCGCTGCATCCGAGATTAAATCACCATTGTTGAACCTTAAAACAAAATTTCCTTAATTTTCATATGTGGTCCTTGTAATTTTAAAAACTTCCAAATTTGCAAATAAGTCCTCTTTAGTTAACCTAAAACTTCTAAATTTGCATTTAGACCCTATCGAATGAAATGAACAAATAAATATACCAAATTAACAACTATACTCAAAATCATTAAAGTTATGAAATATCATAAGCAATGTATGTGATTTTTCGTATAATATTATACATGTGGACAGTAAAATATATGTGTACACGTCGATGCTATTTGACACACTGAGTACCTTTCAAGTCAATATCATTCTCATAACTACATTAAGAGCTCGCCATAGGTGGTCTTCGCAAGAACTCGTCATAAATCGACAGTGAAAAATAAAACTATTTTTAAAATGTACCTATCACAGAAAATGTTGTTATGGTTTGAGAATTATTAATTAAGAAGTAGATATAAAATATTTTACTAGAAAACACGATTTTAGTGATTTGAAGAAAAAACATCATTTTAAAAGTTTTTGCGAGAAAATGTGATTTTGTAGTTGTATAAAAAAAATCAATCTAACAGTCAATCTATCTATATTTACACATGTACACATATAAATATGTACATATTTATTTTGGCATTTTGAGTAAACAACAGTCAATTCATCTATATGTATATAATGATGCCACATATTTTCAATCACCTTCTATATACCTGTGCACATGATATGGAGTGTACAAAATCTCATTGTACAGAAAATAACAATCTTTCTACATGTTCACATATGTCTGAGATACATGTTAGATGTTCAACAAGTTGTAAAATTGTGTACATTTTTTAGTGTACATGTATACAATAAAAATTGGTGGCATACATGTGTACAACAATATGGTAGTGTACATGTATACACCATTGAAAAATTAGGTTAATAATTATATATATGGAGTGAATAATTAATGGAACATGTTTACTTTGTTACAATTATATATCTGGAGTGAATAATTGAAAGTTTAACATTAAATTAAGAGGATGTTTCTGCTATTTGCAAAGTTAAAAACCAAATAGAAATATTCAAGAAGTCCAAGGACCCGTTCAGGTAATCATGAAAGGCCTGGTTTGTACAATTAAAAAAACGAGAATTCAATTTAAAAACGATATATTTGCAAATCAGAAAATTTGGGGGGGGGGGTAGAAATGAATATACTCAAAAGTCGAGGGACCATATGTGAAATAAATCCAAAGTGGCCATTGTTGTTCATCGAGCTTTCGCGAAGAATGAGAGCCGTGTCTGAGAAGCTCGAACCAGTCACGGCTGTCTTTGCAGTTTCAAGAAGGTGATTTGATGGTGATGATAACACAAGACTTGCCACAGATTCGTCGCTACTTCCGATGTATGTATGCTTCATCACATATCTGAAAAGTGAAAAAAAAAAAAGAGAAAGCAGGTAAGTTTGCATTGTTTTTTTTTGGATCGTTAGATCTGTAATAAAAACATTAAGTGAGTGATATAAAAAAATAAAAGAGAAGATGAAATTTTGATAGTAAAAAGAATGATTTGCAACAAAAAATGTGATTTACAAGGTAAAAAATGAAGAAGCCAAACATATTTCTCAAAGAAAGAAGAATAATATGGTGATGATTAGATAGAGGGAGGAGAGAGATAATGAAAATTTCCAAGTGTGGTACCATCTTGATCACATGAATTTGTTATAAGTAAAGAAGAAAAAGAGAAGCAATTGGTGTGTCTCATTCATGAGTAAATAAATTCTTTATATAAGATTACAATAGTTTGGAGACAAAGTCTAACTTGGAGTGGGGGACAAGTATGTTTAGAACTTTCCATATGACATCACCACAATAATCATAACACTTTCCCTTGATGTCCATTATATCAAAGTGCTATCAAAACGCTGTAGATGCTGCCTTATTAAAACCTTACCAGAAAAACTCAATGGGTAAAACATGACTAAGGGAAAAAGAGGGCAGCGCGTAACGACTTCTCCTCATGTGTACATACGTCAAGATCTTTGAGACGATGTAATTTGATAAAATCAATTAGCTTCTTGAAAGTAGCAGTGGTTAGCGACTTGGTGAATAAGTCAGCAAAATTGTCACTTGAATAAACTTGTACTTGTAGGATACGAACATCACCATTCTTTTGCAGGCCGGACATGTGTCTTGATATGACTCATGTTGATTCTCTCTAAAACTCATGATCTCTGAGGATTTAGAAGGGTGATACACTTTCATATTTAAATTATAACATTCCCCTTGAGTGTCTATCATTTGTGTGTTCTTTTTTACCTCATTAAAACCTTGTCAAGCAAAAATTCAATGGGATAAAAAACATAACAAAGAATAAGAATACAACCACACATGTTATCACATTTTTTCCCTTGGAAGCAATATCTTCAGGATATGCATTCTAGTCGAATATACCTCTTTTGGGAATTGAGTTTAAACAGAATAAACTCTTGATTTCTTGTTTCAAAAAAAAAAAAAACTCTTGATTTCTATTAAAATATTTATTTCTTTAGACTTTTGGTTTATAATTCTTCTTTTATCATAGACAACAATTTCTTGTTAGATTTGGACTTCAAGCCAAATATCATTACATACACTCGTCTAACCATTCACGAGTTATTCAATTCTTATTAAAAAGTTACTTTTATGACTTTCTTTGTTGTCATATGTAATCACATCTTTTAATCACATATAAGATTAGTCGTTGAAGAGATCTTCCAAGAGTTCGAGTTTACCTAAAATGCGATAGACTTCGACCTCTGCATTGTGCCTTGCAACGACGGCTTCATGGTACTCCCTGTACATCTTGAGAAGTGCTCGGTAAGGCTTACTCCTATCATTCATTCCATTTGTGAACGCATTTGCTAACGAAGATCCATAATCTTGGTTCGCAGCCATACTTAAACTGTGATCTGCATGTTCATTTAAAAAACCTTTATTTAAAAAATAAAGAGATGATGTATACAAAAGAAAACATTAGATCTAATAAAGACATTAACAGAGAATATATATATGAAAGATAACAATCTTCAAGGAAAGAAAAATTTGAATTATGTGAGAACTTGTTAACTCTTTAGAACTGCTCCTGCATGTGATTGTTAAACTACAAAGAGGAAGAACTAAATATTATAAATGTGAAATATAATTGTAGACAAATTACCAACATGTTTGATTCAACAAAGAAAGATGTAAAAAAGATAGGTAACAAACGTTGATTCCATATGAAATTTAACACATAAATTTGATCTACATGCAATGTTCAAAACAAATAACTTACAAACCGTTTTTTTGTTTGGGTTGAAAATGAGAGAAAACTCGAGAGAAAGAAATTGATTTGTTTTGGTAGAGACGATAGAAAGTACAATTTATAAACAAAGGAGAAAAGAAATTTTTAGATTTGCAACTCTTGATTTGACATGTAGCATCACTAGTAATATTCATTTTTGCTATATTCAAAGTTATCAAAATTAAAAGTATTTTCCTAAAACGTTTCATTTCCATACATTACCAATAATGAATATAATTATCATTAAATATTTCAAATCATATTAAAAACGAGCATATTTTTTGAATCTATGCCATATATATTGTTGTCTAATCTCGAATTAATTAGTCTGATCTTGTGAATCTATACATTTATATCTTCATAAGAAAAATCCTTTTAATAATCACAATTTACCTCATGTGTAATATTTTTAAATAAAGCATATTTAGAAACTCATTAATTTAAATATACATATCATTTATTTCTATAATTAACGAAACTTATCCATTAGGTCAAAACAATGTCCTGAGTCCCAAAATTCACAACTTACTCTTGTTTGGGTCCTTTAATAATTTGTTTCTGAATTAGGGCCCCAAGGTTCACTAATTTTTTTTGAAAAAAATGTTGGCCCCTGTTCCTTTGCTCCACCAGCACTACCCGGAAGTCGGGCCTGGTACCATCATATAATTAAAATATCTTACTTTCGACCAAATTTTAAATCCATAAAAACACCCAAAACTCTCAAATAAAAAAAAACATTGGCACATCGAGAACAAATAAAAGTAGCAGTTATGAAGATGTCTTCATTCCACCTTCATAAAAATGAGAAACTATTCAAAAATCACAACACATAAGTATTAGATAGCAGAAAAAATAAGTAAGTAATATATATCTTAATTATTAATAATTGTCTGACCTTTCAAATAAGTTTCATATGTTTTTTTGTGAGGTTTTCCATCTTTGTCCACAATCAGAATTTTCAGTCCCTGTTTCGTTGTCACCCTAGAAATAGCTACATAAAGCTGTCCATGTGAAAACACATGTCTTGGAACGAAAATACCAACTTCCGAGAGAGATTGATCTTGGATTTTGTTGATGGTTATTGCAAAAGCCACAGCCAATGGAAGTTGCCTTCTACGCATTTTGAAAGGCAATTTCTTGTCTGATGGTGTGATCAATAATCTCGGAATATAAAAAGTCTCACAAAATTTTTCTCCTGTAAGTATCTTCGCTTCCACCATAAAAGGCATCAGTTCTGAAATTACTAATCTAGTTCCATTCATCAATCCACCTGTAGGATCAATATTCCTCAGTACCATCACTGGACATCCAATCTTCAGTCTTATACTATTATTTGGCAAGCCAGACAGCTTAATGATGTTTAAAAAATCAGGAGTAAGTCCTTCATCGTTAACTGATTTTACATCAGACGGATCAATACTATCTGAGCTCATATAAATCATTTCCTCACATGCGTTTTTAAAAAGGTTAGTTATAGAAATATAGCATATAGTATAGTATACAAAATAGGAAATATGAGTAGTTATCATTAAATTATCCAGCATGTATTCATTATTAGTATTGACATCCTCGTTTATTAGACATAGAATAGCTCTCTCTTGGAAAAACTTTGGGTTCTTGTTTCCTTGTAATGAAAATGAGTCTCCATACACTGCCATGCTTATTGCTTCTATAGGCACATTATAGTCTGAAATGAGAAAATCTTCTAGTATATCAATTATATCCTCATTCATCATCATTAGGCTCAGATAGTTTACCATCTCCAACATCTAATATCCATTCAGAAAATTCCTTGATATCATTAGTCCCTGCAGGACATAGACCAGTAGACAACAATCGCATGTTATTTGTCAAGTTGAGGATTTTACAATGCTCCCAAAGATAAGATGAATTCAGAGAAGCCAAAAACTATATCCGCTGACTCCCACGATTTACTACTGGAAGTATCTGTCTAAAGTCCCCTCCAAAAACCACAACTTTTCCTCCAAAAGGCTTCTTGGTTTTGCTTCCAACAATATCAGTTAGACTTCTATCCAATGCCTCGAAACAGTTTTTACTCATCATAGGAGCCTCATCCCATATGAGGAGGGAAGCTTCTTTCATTAAATTCACTTCATCTGTTCCATGAGTAATAGTACATGTAGAAAATTCATCAGGACTTAATGGTATCCCAAACCTTGAATGATCAGTTCGTCCACCTGGTAACAACAAAGATGCAATCCCACTTTATGCAACATTAAGAACAATATCCCCTTCAGATCGGATTGCCGCCAAAAGTAATCTCCAGATGAACGTTTTACCAATGCCACCAAATCCATATACAAAGAACATTCCACCTTTATCTTCATAAACAGCTTCAATGATCTATCGTAAACCTTCCTCTGTTCGTCAGTATCCTCTGAAGATAAGTATCAAGAGTAGCTAACAGTTCTTCACGATTGTAGTTACGTTCATCAACTATCAGGACATTGGAATCTTGATTACTGCTTCTACGTGGTTTAGGCATATATTTAAACAGTGAAAGAGAACTCCCATTGCGTCTCATAATCTTTTCAATCTCTTGAAAAGCAAACTGTTTTTTGTCATCATCACATAATATGAGACCTACAATTACAATGTTAGGAACTGTTAAAACGAAAAAACGGATAAAACTCTAAATTACTGATGATTCATATACTTCTGAAGCTATAACTATAAAATAATAATAACAAAACTTAATGTCGCTATTGAAGCAATGCAAAACCAAACTATCGAACCAACCAAAGATTATCTGTCAAAATTTCAGTTTCTGATTCTCAATTATTTAAAGCATAAATCGATATGCACCAATGATTATCTTAATCAATTCAAACTGATGCATGGTCTCGTACTAAACAATTTCGCATGTTAGTAACCAAACGAACTGGATCAGAAAGCATATCCAAAACAAAATGGCTTATAATTTAATAAACATAGTGATGGAGGTAGTACTTATCTCGACTTGAAAATGTAAGAAAAGGTTGGATCGATGGAATAACGCCAGAGAACAAAAACAACTTGGATTGTGTTTTGTTTAGGGGATTAGGGTTTTGAATATTGCTCGGCTTCTAGGGTTTCAAGCGGATAATGGGTTATAAATAAAAAAGAAAAAGTGAGGAAATTGGTGTGTCTTATTCATGAATAAAGAGATATTCTATATAGGATTACAATAGCTTGAAGATAAAATCTAATTTGGAGTGGGAGACAAGTATATTTAGGATTTTCCATACAGGTATCACCACAATATTCATAATATAATTAACTTAGTTTATCATTATTTGGTTTTAGTAAAAAAAAAAGTATCTTAATAGCTAAAGTTGATTTATATTGCAATAAAAACATAAAACTACCTTAGAGTCTTAATAACTTAAGAAAGAATTTGAAGTTCTAAAAAGATACAGAAATCTTACTACTATGATTTGTTTCTTTTTTTGTTGGTCCAACTTTCACACTCTCACTATATCTTACAGACTGAAAATGTGGGTGTGTGTTGAAAACCCATTGGTTGGTTTCTATAACATGGACGGCAGTTTTTGCAATTATAACTCTTTAACAAGCTAGTAAGCATGTCTAATCATTAAAATACATGTGTTGTGAAAGAGTAACATCTCGTTCTTAATTCCAATTTGTCAATTTATTGTTATCATTACACCGACTATATAAAAATTAATATCTACAGTTTCCTCTTATTTGTTTGGTCTGGATTTCACGTTTTTGTACGTTTTAAAAGGGGCTTATTTGCTTAATAGCCATATTTGGATTCAAAATTAAGTATATGTCATTGATTTTGACATAATATAATTTCTAACATTTGTGCCACAAATATCCGGTTCTATCCTTTTTCTTTGTAGGTAGTAGGTAAATAAGAGAGAGAGCAACATGATTGATAAAATATACGGTCAAAAACACCTGAAAACTATTGCACTTAAAAAAAACTAACCACGTATATGCTTACTAACCACACATATATATATATATATATATATATATATATATATATATATATGCAACTCGACGTTCTATTCCATACCATTGAAATAGTATAGGATTATAACCCCACATAATTACCACAAACATATTCATTATACGTATCAATTCCTCTAAATACTAAACCCTAAACTGTTGTCACTCAACCCATACATTCCAAATACTATACCCTAAATTCTAATCACTAAACCCTAAACCCAAGTACAGACTCTAAACTCAAATAGAGTAGAACAAAATACATAGAATAGTACATATTGGTGAGTAAAATATAACACTCTTTATTAATCATCAAATGGAATGATACATAATAGAGTTACTAAACCCAAACCTTAACCCCACCTTCCAAATACTAAATCCTAAATCCTAATTACTAAACCCAAGTATAAACCATAAACCCAAATAGAATAGAATAAAATATATAGTATAGTACATATTAATAAACAAAATAATATGTTCTTTATTAATCATCAAATGGAACGATACATAATAGAGTTACTAAACCCAAACCTCAACCCCCACCTTCCAAATACTAAATCCTAAATCCTAATTACTAAACCCAAGTATAAATCATAAACCCAAATATAATAAAATAAAATATATAGTATAG